ATAAGTTGTTATTATTAGTTTTTGTCATTAATGCTCGTTGATTATATTTTGCTTTTCGAAATAATGTCACAATAATTAAATTAACGGGTAAAACAATCAATGTTCCAATAAAACTTATCCATAGCTAATAATAAATATGAAAAATATTCAATATTATTAGTTATTCTTTGATGAAAAAATAAGTAAAAATTTTATTTACTTGTGTAAGTGTAAATCGTATTGGACCCAATTGTAAAACAACGCCTTTTTCTGCTTTATTTTCAGCTTTATAAAACATTGCATTTGATATCATTGTACAAAATAAGAGTGATATACAACATGAAATACGCTGTAATCGTGTGAAATTACTTCGAACGGGACGTGAAAATACTGAAAACCATAAATGACCATCGCTAAATTTCTTTTTTACCTATATAAATACAAAAATAGATATATATTTTTTTTACTTCTTAATCTCCCTATATAGAATAGAATAATTTATATCATACCGATTGTGTAAATAAATGCGTAAAACTTTTTAATTCAGTTACAGATGCTACGGATACAACACGATCTACCATACCATCACCTTTCTCTACTCCTAACCAATTATCACAAATAAAATAACTCCTAAAAATTATCTAGACTTTATAAAAAGTTAACTTTCTTTTATAAATAGTAAATTTTACTTTTCTCCCGTTTGTAAATCCATCACATTTATCATATTCAAATACCATGATGCATCTGCTTTATGTCCAGAATTATCATGCCATACTCGAAGATACATCAATGGACCTAATGGTGATTCAACACTCATTACCTTACGATTAAGAAAAGAAAGAAAAAAATATTAGAAAATAAATAGAAAATAATATAAATATTAAATATACATACAAAATTTTTGACACTACCAGTTGGAAAACCCTATTAATTAATAATAATTTAATTTAATTTAAATATATATATTTAATATTTAAAATACAAACTTTTTGTTTTCCATCAGTTAATTTTCTTACACCACTATCAGAAGTTTCACCTGATATAACAAATGTAACATTGGATGTTGTACCAGCATCTTTTACAATACCCGTATGAACTGTTAGTAGATAATGATAAACATCAATTGGTAAATTATCGACAAGTGGTGTAGCTGTCCACTATAATATACAAAAAATTTTATTTTATTTTTTTAATAAAATTTTTATTTATATTAATATACTTTAATAATATCTTTTTTATCTTTTCGTCGTGCCCAAATAGCAGCTATAATATATACTCCTAATATTGAAATAACTGTAGCAAAAACAGCAGCATTTTCATTTAATTTTCTAAAATTAGCCCAAACTGTTTTAAAATTAATTGTATTTGGTGGTACATAAAAATCACTGCCAAATGTTGTCAAATGAGTACATAAACATTGTGTTGATTTCGTTGTTGTTTGTGGGCCAACCTGAAAATTTATTTTTTATTTTTTTTTGTTACTATTTTGTTATTATTATTATTAAAAAACTGAATTTTATTTTATTTTTTTCTATACCTGACAACCATCTTTACTCCAAACAAGTTGTTTTTCATCCCAATATTGACAAGTAGACACATACATTGAGATTGTATAAGATGAATTATAAGAATTGGCTGTAGTGTTTGTAAAGTTAGCAAGTCCTATAATGAATATAATTGTTTTTTTCATGATGATAAAACTAAGAGAATATATCATACTATTCAATCTAACACCAAATATATAAGTTCCATTTCCAAGATGAACGGATGGTGGCATAAATATTGTATGTTTTAATTCATCAATATTATTTGGATTCGATGATATATTGGTATTATTTGGAAGTGTATAAATAAAATTAAATTTTGATTCCGTTGGTGGTTCAACTGAATCATTTCCATGACTAACATAAATAATATAAGAATCTATTGTCAATGATGGTTTAATATATACAGCTAATGCCATATGTTTTTCTGGTAAAACAACCTAAAAAAAAATAGAATATTAATAATTTAGAAAATAATAAATTTTATGAATATTCTAGTACTTTATGATATTTAAAATTTAAATTAAAAAGTTCATGTTCTTGAATATCTGGCATTTTATCTTGTGGTCGTTTAAGAAAAAGTGAAATTGGTTTTGATGTATTTTGAACAGGAATTTCATCACCACTGGTATGTGTTAAAATAATAGTAACAACACTTCCTTCGACCGATGAATTTCCTGTTGTACTCGCATATGGATTAGTTTTTGATGATAAAACTTTTGTTACAATATCCGATGAACCATCTGATATTAAATCAGTTAGAGATGGTAATTTAATTTCTGAATCACCGGTTAATAAACTCGATTTACCTACATAATATAAAATATTTATTATATTTGTCATAGAAATATGTTAAAATAGGACGAATACTTACCATCTGGTGATTGTTTTGTGAATGTCATTGCCATTGATTTTCCTTCAACTGATTTTGTATCATTTTCAGATGAACGATTTGCTAATGCACCACCAACAGTAAATAAACCAGTTGAACTTCGTTTTGCCAAATTACTAGCCTACAATAGAAAAATGTCAAATGTATCGTTTTCTCTGGTCAAGAGTTTCATCTCTTTTTCTTGAAAAAGATGGAAGAAAAGGTTCGATCAAGTCTACAGATAGACATTAGAAAAAGAAAACCGATGTATTTTTGCTTAAAATTTTCTGACATCTTCTTCTATGAATTTTCTGAAGGTCTCGGATATCATTCAGTCACGTTCCTTCGAAAAATGATTGGATGATTTCTGCTCGTCATAGACTGAAATTCTTTTGTAAAGAACGATTTTGGAAAAACATCCTTACGATCAACGTTGAAGTTGAAAACGATTTAAAAAAGAAATGTCAAACTTGAGATAGAATGGGAAGTATCGGTGACAAAAACTCGAACTCGATTGGATCATTTTTTTATTTTTCTGGAACGTGACTTGATTGAAAACACTAGTGTCTTACGCATTACAGTTAACATCAAACCAATTACCTTTTTTCAGGGTACTAGAGTCAATGTTTCGATTCCCGTGAAAACTATTAAAAAATTTCAGAAATAATCTCATTGCGAAGAGAACTCTTTGCTCTATTAGACAATGTATAAGAAGAAGTTTCGATGACACCACGAGATTTTGTAGCTCAAACTTTCTAAGCTATGCTCAAAATTAAAAATTAAAAATTTTTATCAAAAACGAGAAAAATTCCTTTAAGTTCTTTTAGAATATTACTCGTTGTCTTCCTTCAATAATATGATGTTTCGATTCATCCAATTGAACTCGATATTTTTCCCATCGTTCTTCTGGTAAATCTTCACAATCATCACAAGAATTATAAAATTCTGTTGGAGCAAATAACACTTTTTGTTCATTATCTTCAGCTTCACTTTCTTTCATGTTTGATTCAAGTTCCTATAATTAAAAAATAAATAATAATAATATAAATGAAAACTTTCTTTTTTGTTTTTGTTTTTTGAGAACAAAATCAAACCTCTTTTACTGCATCTGGATCTTTTTCAATATCTTTTTGTACAGTTTTTGATGCTGCTTGAAGAACATTACTACCCGTATCCATTAACGCTAAAATATTAAAAATAAAGAAAATCACATTTTTTTTTTCTTCGTCTTCTTCTTCTTTCTATCATATAATTCTTTTTATAACATACAAGTAGCCAAATCTGTTACAGTGCCTTCATCAGCTGATTCCATATCACGAACTTTATTTCCAACTTTTTCTATTAAACCAGCTCCTCTTTCCTTAAAAAAATCAAAATTAAAATTCAATAATTTCTCTTTTTTCTTTCTCTATTATTTATTATACTTGATTATCCAATGGCATTTGATCACTGTTAGCAGTCACTTGTGTACTCGCTTTAATAGCTTTGGCCACAATTCCTGGATCACTCACCACATCTAATAAAACATCCATGGATGCTAACATTTTTGATCGCATCTAAATAAAAAAAAATAAATAAAATAAAAGTCAGAAAATAACAACAATAAGTCCTATTTACTGTTGCCATTCGATCATTCATTGTTGATGTATCTGCATCCGTACTATTTGTCTAAAATAAATTAATTTTTTTATATATTAATAATAATATAAATTTAAATTTAAAAATAATACTAACAGAATTTTCACTCATTTCATTTAATTTATCAGCTAATCCAGTAATTAATTCGACAGCTTTTTTTGGATTTGTTGCAGCTAAATTATCTAAATTATTCATTGCTTCATCCATTGCATTTAAATCACTTGTAAATATATAATTATTTCGTTTATCAATTATTTTTTTAACAATTAACATTCTTCCATCTAAACTTCTTATTATTAATATAAAATGTAGTGTTTCATTCAATTGTAAATATTTTTCACTTATATTTAATGTTTTTAATGTTGATTCATAAATAATATGTTGATAATCAATTTTATTTAAAAAACAACGATGTTCAAATAATTGTATATTTAATTCAGGACGAATAACTAAACTTAAATTTGACCATCGAATATTTAATAAATTATGTATATTATTTTCTGATGGTCTTGTATTACCTAATAAAATATCATCTGGAAATAAATTTTGTGCTTCTGATGGTAAATAACAAATAAGTGTAAAATTTAATTTTCGTTTATCATTTGTTTCATCATCTGGATCATTTGTTTTTGACCAAAAATTAATTGTTATATCTTCATCATCTGAAATTGTTTCTGTTCCACCTGTTCCATTTAAATTATTTGCTATTAAACTACCAAAACTTGTATTTAAATCTGATTTTACAATTTCAATTGGTTGAATAATTTCACGATAAATTGATGGATTTATTGTTGAAACAATTGTTATTTGAATAAAATAATAACCATATTGTAATGATTTTGGTTCAATAATTAATGATTTTGTTTTACCTATATTTGAACAATAATATGAAAGATATTCATCTGTATAAATACTACGATTTGTTGATGATAAACGATTTAAACGTTGAGAATATTTCCAATTTAATGGATCAGTATTAATTAAATAAAATGAATAGGAAAATGTTTCACTATTACATATTGATGGTAATTTTGGAATTAATATATGTTTTTTATTAAATGGTAATAATAAAACAGGTGTTTTAGCTGTTATTGTTGTATTAACAGCATTATCTGAATAAAGATATATTAATTGATCATTAATACATGATGATGTTTCTAATGGTTTATCAATAATTGTTACTTGTGAACATGTTAATAATGATTTTAATTTTTTTGATGATGGATTTATAAATGTAATATCAATATTATATGTACCAGCTTTTTGATATTGATAACCAATTTGAAATCGTGTTTTTGATAAACGTTTTAATGATGTATTATCATCAAATTGTTTAATTTTATTCATTGGACTATTTATAAGTATACCATAATAGAGTGTAATTATTTTTCCATTACCCATATTTATTTCTGTATTAAAACCAATACCATCAAAATATTGTATATCAATCCATATTAAATTATTATCATTATCATTTATTGATATATAATTATTAATTAAATATGTTTGTACTGATGTTAAATCTGTACCAATTGAAAATTTTGTTGATGCTTCACGTATTGTTGGAAATTCACCACCTTTAACAAGTAATGTTTGATATCCATATGTTGTTATATTTAAATAAAAATAATCAGTAAAATTATTTGATAGAGATAATTGAATTGTTTCATTTTTTGTTATATTTGATATTGAACTAAATATTGTTAATGAAATAATACCATGAAATGGTATACGTTCTTTTGCACGAATTGTTACTAATGTTACTTGTGTTATATCTTTACGATTTTCAACTTCAACATGATAGGGTGGAATAGGTTCTTCAACATCAATTTTTGTTGTTTGATTAAATACACTTACTTTATTTGATGCACTAATCATGGGACTATATTGACCAGGTGTATCATATTTACATTGAATAATTAAACGATATTTTTCATCAATTTTATTAACATAAAATATTTGTAATGTATTATTTACTTTTATTTCTTGACCACAATTAAAAATAAACATAACATCAAATGTTGGAGCTAAACTAACGGTATATTCAACAATTTGACCACTTTTAACTGGTGATTGAGATATTTCAATATCTAAATCAGTTATACGATTTTCAACATAAAATTGATATGGTTGTAATGGTATATCATCACATTTCAATTGATAAAAATGCATTCCACGATCTAAATTCTATAATAAGAAAAAAATTAATTTAGTAAATACTTTTTTTATTTTTTTTTTTTATATAATTAAATCTAACCTCATCTGATACAACTTCAAGTAATTTTCGTCTCTTAATAACATCTAAAGATTTATTTGTTATAACATTATATAATTTTAAACAATTTGATGATGTAAAAGAATAATCATCAAGTGATAAAACTGTAAAACGTTTTGTATCATCTTGCATTAACATTTTTTTTATAATATTTTTTCCTGTAATATTTTTTCGAATAATTGTTCGTGGTAATTGTGTCGTATTTGTACTTCGTTCATTAAAACATTTAACAGTAACATTATGTTTTCCATATTTTGTATATTTATGTGTAAAATGAGATGTATAATATTGATGATGATTAGTGCCTTTTGATTGTTTACCACCATCACCAAAATTTACTGTACAATTTAATGGAATACTACCAAAACATTGAACAGTAAAATTTTGATCATGATCACCATCTCGACTATCAGGTGAAAAATGAACAAATTGTAATGGTAAATCAGTTTTAATATAGACAACATCAACATTGACAACACGATATTCTGATGTTTCACCACGAACTGCTCGACGATAATCGGCACGAAATTGAACACGTTTAGAACCCTCACTTTTCCATGATAAATTAACCTGAAAATAATAATTTATATTTTATCAGTTATTGTTTTTATAAGAGATAAAAAAAAAAACATTATGAATCTCGTGTGAATATATAACTCTTTAAACAGTTGAATTTTGATAGGTTTTTGTTTATCTCTGTAAATTGTGAAGTTTTTAACTAGGTCTGCGACAAATTAGCGGATTCTGTTCGTTCAACGGACATTAATTTTCAGTTCAAGTTTATTGTTAACAAGTCAAGTACTGTTTTTTGGTTTCCGTTTCTGAACTAGGAACAATCCAACAGATCACATTCATAGAAACGAACTCATCAGTTCTAGTACCTTCGAACGGGAACTACAGTTGTAGTTTTGAACGAGAAAATGTTCATACTCTCATTCTGAGTGTTCTGTTAGTATACTGGCTCTTTTTAAATGTTTGTTCCATGAATACATTGTCATTCTGAGTGCTCTCTTATTTTACTGTTTCTTATTCAAAAACAATTGTACTTTCGGCCCGAAAAAACTGATAAGTTGTTCCTATGAACGTGAACTGTTGGACTATTTCCGTTCAATAAACTGAAACTAAAAATTAGTTCCCGTTATCAAGAAACTACAGTTAAACGAACAATGAACTGTCAGAGATATATTCTTAACCTTATTCGATGGAGAAATACCGGTGAAACCAGTTTATTAGATGAAATGCTAAATATCAGAAAACAGTAACTACTATTTGTTAAATTTTTTTCAACAAAATTAGTAAATCTAGCAGTTGTACAACCAAAGGGGAAACACCGTACTCGGCTAACTCCGTCACACCGAGGAATTTAACCGGAGTAGTGGAGTAATCCTGAGTAGCGGAATGACCCTGAAGTGAATTGAGTTTGATGTTTCCAATTGACGGGCTTTGCTTTCTTAAATTCTCTTTTCATTTGTAGTATTTTTTAGCTCCCAATGTTCCTAATGTTCCCATAGTTCGTAATGTTTTTAACGCTTCTAATGTTCTTATTGTTCCTATAGTTCTCAATGTTCGTAGGATTAGGAACATTAAAAACTATGCACAGCATAGGAACTACAGGAACTGCTATTATTATCGCTTCTTTCAAGAACTTGGATTGTTAGCATTCATTAGTGCTGTGCATACTATTCCCGAGAAGAAAGCTGATCAACAAGTGCGAGTGAAGAGAGTTATAGCACTTGTCACTTCGTCCACTCCGGAATGAACCAGAGTGGAAGTTCACTCCGCGAAGTAGTGGAATATAAATATAAAGTACGGTGTTTCGCCCTTGTTTGTGAGAGCGGGATGTTGATTGAAAAGACGTACAGATCTTTATCATTTAGTCTTAGTTAAAAATACAAAATTTATCTTGTGATATATACAGGGTGATGCATAACCTTTTGCTAGGGGGGTACAGCTCCAACGACAAATGATATAAAAATGAATTACATACCAAATAAAAGCTCATCGAAAACGGGATTAACGGGTATAACTGGTAATCCATAGGTTGATTATGAGCTATAGAATTATGGAAGTTTCTATCCG